AGAGCCATCATTACCTAGTCTGTTTTGAATGGCCATCGGTGCCAGCAGCATGTGTTAGACACACTCAGAGTTCACCTAGCATGCAAAAACTTGGGGATTTAGCACGGCATCACTCAGTTCACAGAATCCAAATGCCTTAGATGAAAAACTCATTTTGCAGGGCAAAATCATAACGGGAACTGCCTAAGTGGATGCTGTGGGATTTTTCACGTACTCTTCTAGATTGCAGCTCCTGAATTTCCTCTAAATTCCTCTTAAAGCACTTCTGTTTTATTTGGTATCTTATTCCAAATCCTTCAGTCTGTATGCCATATTCCACAAAAATTTCAACAAGATACCTGCTCTGCAGAGTAAAATTAAAATCACTGAACAGAAATTACTGGAATTATTTTGATTAAAAAGGGAAAGAGAGCTGACGCAAAAGGTTTATAAACTATGTCTCATCACCTACTCTAAATGAATTCAGTAATAAAAATTGCTATATAATTAAATTCACTGCTGAATGTGATCCTCAGAACTGATTTGAATTCCATTTTCTAATTCATCATGGTACTGATCTCTCAATTTACACGGGTATCTGGTGAGATTGGGGGCCTAACAGACTCTGCCCTGTTTACAGTAAAACTTAATTAAGTCTAGCATCTCCCAAAGTTTAACAGTAGGGATTGTTTTCCTCTTGCTTGTGCTGCAGTTGGTTCACAGAAGAGTTTCTGAAAACTATCTTGCATTTTTGCTGACGCTTTCTTCTTTTTAGCAGACTTCGCAATGTTCTACCCGATAAAATTTACTTTGGCTAATATTAATCAGTCAGCTTGATGTCCTAACATTTACTTTTCTCTTTTGTTGTTTGCAATGCCTGCTTGGAACTGGGACAAATATCAGACATGCGCTCATGCAAACTCTGGGGTGATATGCTATATAAATGAGCCCCCAGTTCTGGCTACCTAGATACCATCTGACGAGTATTCTTAGATCTTTGTTTCTGAAAGGGGTTGGTTTTCCTCGGGTGCTATGAAGGTGCTAGTAGCTCTCATATTGCTGGTTCAGCTTCCAATCCACAAGGCTGTACCAGCAGCTCCCCCTCCTCCTCCCTTGCGCTGCGACGACCCAGAATCTGAAGCAGCAGCTGAAATAGCTGTGAATTATATTAATGACCACAGCCACCACGGATACAAGTTTGCCTTAAACAGAATTGAAAATGTCCGCGTGCTACCTCAGGTAAGTGAGGAACTTGCAGGCAGGGCACAGTGCTAACACCGGGAATGCTTGGAAATTACGGAGAATCCCAGCAGAGGGCTGCATCCTCCCATGAGGATGCAGCGGAGCAGGGCTCCCTGGGCACACATGGGGCAACGGCACCTTGGCACTGCTGGGATGCAGCTCACTGGAAAGCGTCTCTCAAAGAGCAGAACGGACGGGGAGAAATAAATGTCCAGGTGTCTTTCAGACAGCGAGAGAAAGGGCTCAGAAAAGCGTGCTGGTTGGGGCAGATCATTCAAAGGGCTCATTTGTGAGCGGGGCAGCTGATGTGGAGCTGATCCGGAGAGAGGATAACCTTTGTGCTGCAGGTAACGCTGCCTCAGCACATACTTATCCTGATGCCAGGCTAGCAGTCATCTTGTGCCAGGTATGAGTTTGATCTAATATCTCCCTAGGCTGGCAAGGAACCCGAATGGGAACAACTGTGGCTTCTTGGCTCAGTTTCACTGAGGTCTATTTGCATCATTCTGACAGTCTAGGCCTAAAATATGGTGCAGGTAAACACCCAGAACTGCTGGCTCTCTCAAAACAGTGAAAAGGGCCCCAAATACTAACAAGAATGAAGCTTCAGAGCTGTTTTCTATCTGATATGAGAGTGAGGATGTCAATGTCATTTACAAGAGAATAAAAAGGACCTTAATGAGATGAGAAGCTTACCCAGAGTATTTTTGCAAAAAAAATGATGACACTGCTTTGCTCCTACTTAATACTTCTACACTAAAATAACTCCATTAGTTTAAATGGAGTCACTTGATTTGCATGGGAATAAAATACCCTTGCATGTACTTCCAAGCCCCAGAGTTCCTCTCAGAGCTAGGGAACCTCGTTTCTGCTCCCACTCACACGCCTGATGTTACAGCTGAAAAGGTGCAACTACCACCGTGTACAATCACAGAGTCTGTTCATGGATAACAGCAGCTGTTATTTTTCTAAAACTACAGAACAAGATAAAAACAGGAGAACTGGCCCACTACATTTATGCTGGACTTTCTAAAAGTTATGGCCCTGATCCTTAGCTGGCAAAAAAAGCCATGCAACATCAACAGGACCTTATTTATTATAAAACTATGTAGTAAAGCCATGTTCCTGATACAGGTGCTCTAGGGTATACCTGGAGCTATCCACCAGCAGTGAGCAACAGAGATCACCTCAGCCCCAGAGGAGAAATCTGCTGATGTTCTGCAAGGTAATTAATACAATTTCTGTATTTCTCTTGCAGGGGCCAAATAACCAGTTGCTCTTTCTTGAACTCGACTTACTAGAGACCAAGTGCCACGTCCTCAACCCTGTCCCTCTTGAGAACTGCACAGTAAGGCCCTTCGAAGAGCACGTGAGTGTCTGAAACTTGACTAGCTCTGTGCATTGACGCCACTTCAGTACGTTGGTACTAGAGCCCCTCTGAGCAGCCTTGCAAGCTCAGGCTGCAGATATTAGATCCCTGTAAGGGCCTATATCAGCCCCTGGTAACTCTCCTGTGGCTTTAGCTGCCTTCATGCCATATATTCTTCTGTAGCTGCCCCAGAGAATGTGCACCCGGCATCTTCCCCACTCACTCTCTGCATCCCTCCTCCAAAGTTTTTTTCCCTGTGATGTAAATGCAAAGCTCTCTGTGTGTTTGCTTAGGGAATAGGAAGATAAGGTATTATTGACAGCACAGTTCCTCAGCAAAAAAAAAGTTTTTAGCACAGGTGAAGGAATTAGTGTTCCTGTTGTGTCTAGCATGGTTTGTCTATAATATGAACCACATGAAAGAGTCCAGTCTGCAGAATCCAGAAGGAGTGCTAGATAAACACCAAAAGAGACAGGGGTGTTGCTTCTGTCTTCCAGTCACTCAGCACCTTTCTCACCAGTTCCGTGTCCCTACAGCTCACCAAACTCCTGGATTTCCTCCATATCTTGCCCTGTGAGGACAGGTCACTGCTGGCATCCCATTTCACATGCAGTTCGTGCACACTGAAGGGCCTTGTCTAGGGGCTGCAGATTCAGCCCTCCATGACTCGCTCAGACGTCACTGCCGTGGTGCAAAGAACAGGCAGGGAAAGCTGTGATCTGCTGCAGACCACAGCCTTCCCTAGGCAGTGTGTGGGCTGCTAACTAATGAAATCCCATCAAGTCTGGCCATCAGGGACTGCATGCCCCTTGGACAGGGCGATGCTCTCCAAATAATGCTCCACCGGAATTTACTGGCCCCTGAATACTTGGGGCCGCCTATTGCAACGCTCTCCCTAAGCAAAGCAGAAGGGTTGTGTGAGCTCAGGCAGCTTTGCTTTCCGAGCAGAAAGCAGCGTAACCAACAATTTAGTTTGCTGTTTCTAGAGAGATGCATGCCCCTTGGACAGGGCGATGCTCTCCAAATAATGCTCCACCGGAATTTACTGGCCCCTGAATACTTCAGGCCTATTGCAACACTTTCCCTAAGCAAAGCAGAAAGGTTATGTGAGCTCAGGCAGCTTTGCTTTCCAAGCAGAAAGCAGCGTAACCGACAATTTAGTTTGCTGTTTCTAGAGAGAGGCCCAATTCACAGAGCTCATGACTAAATTTGAATCATAATCCACCTTGTATTCACCAGGGCTCAGATCCCATTTTCCACGTCCGGGGAGGGGACCCTTCACGGCTCCTCCTCGCCAGCGGCCCGGGCTTTGCAAGGCAGCTCCCGCCAGGCTGAGCTCTGCTGTTACCATGGCCACTGCCCAGCAGGGACGAGCGAGGACGTTATGGAAGAGCCCTGCACAAGGTCTTACTGCACGAGGATGCCTGTTCTCTGCTCTTCATGAGAGAAGGGCCTGAACTAGACATGCACAATATAGATAACCCCTAATAATAACAATCAGAGAGCGGATCATCAGACCAATTTAGGCAGGAGCACTCAGCCAGGACTTAATGTTTTGAATTTAGTAGTAGCTGCCCTTTTCAGAAATTCCTATTTATCTTAATGACGTAACCCTTTAATTTTTTGTCTCCCTCTAGGCAGTTGAAGGTGACTGTGATGTTAAATTGCAGAATTTGGATGGGAAGTTATCTGTACTTGCCAGTAAATGCCACTCACATGCAGGTAAAGACTTCACTCTTCAGGTCTGAATCTGCCGGCAGTGGTTACAGATCAGCAGCTCTTGTGACTTCAAGCCCTGCAAGTGCTCTGTATAAATATGTCGTAACATATATGGCAGTTTATGAGTTTTCTAACCCCAGTTGTTTTGGAAGCCTTTTGGCCTTGCCTTATTTCATTCACCTACCAATGTAGTCCTCTGGCTTTGGGCCCCTCTACTATGAGAGTCCAGATTTGCTCAGACTAACCAGGGAGAAATTCCCAGACTTGACATGGAGATGGCTGGCACTTAGGATCTTCACCCTGGAGGTTAGCCCCAAGAATTTGATCCCTTGTTGACATGAATTTACCAGAGCTTGTTGAACTTCAGAGCTCTTTGCAAGATGTAGCTTATTTACTAGATTCAGCTTTTTCAGTGTTGCCCATGGGAAGGTGGAATTGCTATTCTGCAGGCTCTGTATGAGATTTCTTAGGCATTACTTTCAGAACGGGTGATCTAATGAAACAACACACTCATGCACACGCAACTCCAGTAACTTGGAGCACCTTCATTTTTCATTGGTGTCATAGACGGCTTGCCAGAAAGAGAACCAATTAAAACCTGAGTAGAAATGTTCAAAATTTTTCCTTGAATAAACATTTCAGGACTTCACTGGCAAACGTTACGTGAAACGCTGCCACCTATAGCTTGTACCGCAAAAAGTCCTTTCCACTGCAATATTAGACCATGAAACCCACTGTTTCGTATCACCGAATAGATCTATAACGTCTTCAGAAATAAGCTGTAACCTGATGAAAACGCCACCTGTCTGGCTCCTCCGCAGACTCGGCTGAAGACGTCATCCGCGTGTGTCCTGACTGCCCGCTGCTGGAGAACCTCAACAACACCGAGGTGCTCGCGGGCGTCGCGGCGGCGCTCAACGAGCACAACAGCAAAACCCCCGACGCCTACCTCAGGCTGCTGGAGATCGGAAGGGCCAGGATACAGGTAACTGCTACCGCTAGGGCAATCCTTACGCGTCAACAGAGTATTTCTTCTATGGGAATTGCCAGGTGATAACCAGTCCTGTTTGCAAACAGAATCGGCTTACTTTACCCTACCGAACTGCTCTTGATTTCCCAAGGATTTTGTGTCATCTAAGCCACATGATTCCCTCTGACTTAAGTGGGAGATGTAGAGCTGGAAACCAACTTCTAAGAACATCTGCCTAGGAAGTAAAGCTAATGTGGACGCCTGCCAGCTGCTGCCGGAGGACGAGGCCGTGAGTAGCGCGGGCCAGCGATGGAGCCGCTTCTGGGGTAGAAAAGGAACTTGCTCTCATGCACCTGCCCTTGTGCAGGAACAGACCTTTGTGAGGATAAACGAGCAAGAGTTGCACACTGCCACGGTGTGCTTTTCAATATAGAATTTTCCAAAAGTGCATCACCCCTTTCTCATCTCCTTGATGCATCTGCGTTGAATTCTGATGCATTTTAGCATATTTCTAAAAGGTTGAAGCCAAAGGTTTCCTTAACAAAAGGTATTTTTAATAAACAGATTTTTTGTATTCTTCTTAATACGGGCTTCTGAGAAAACCAGGCTCCTTTGTACTAGGCAGTAAACAAATACGTAACAAAAGGATAGACTCTGCCCTACTTTGCTACAATACAAGTCCTTGTGAATGACACTTCTACTAAACTTATATCTATATATCTATACATGTAACGAAACTGAGTCTAAGCAGTTTTCATGGGTGGGAACATTTTACCTATCTAGATTTCTATGTATCTCCCCCTTCATTCCCCACACACAGTCTGGCTTTTGAATCCAACAGGCTCAAAAGCAAGCACTTTACTGCTCAGATAAAATATATTAAAAATGACAACTTTCTTAATATATTAAAAGTAAAAAATATCATGCAGATCATTTCTATTTTGTAACTTCCTTTTGATTCTGCTGTTTTTCCAGAATTTTGGTTTCTGCACAGCAACAATAGCAACACAACCTACGACGGACGTGCAAGTGGACTGCAAACTTTATGGGCATCAGGTATCAACTTGCTAGATATCTCCGTCCCTTCCAGCATATTCCAGCCTGGCATCACCCTGGAGCCATTATTCCGAGTTTACCTCTTTCACTGTAGATTAGTTATCTCTGATAACTAACGAGACTAACTTTGTACTCTAAAAAAAGAAAAATGGCAACGTAGCTCCTGGCTGTCCTATGGATTTCTGTGCCAGGAATTCAGTTATCAGTGTCATCCCTGCCTGACACAGCTCCTCCTTCCTCAGCACTGGGGATCTGCACATGGGCAGTGGGGTTCACTAGGTGTGAGGCGTAAGATGTAATTGAGCACAAAATGTGGTAATTTCACTGGTAAATGAAATCAATTGAGGACTTTTGCTCATATTCCTTAGACCTGACTGTTTCCAGGGAGCCCACAACTAATCTGCTATAGCAAGGACAGGGGAAACCCATGTGCACAAAACCTGAGAACTCACCTCCTATTTCAGCCTCCTCTTGGTCTGCGATGGGCTAATTGGCAGTTGAGTACTTCCTATGGAAGACATGTGGTATTTTGGTAACAAAATAGTAATGATAGCTGTCTAGGGGATATATGAAAGAAAGAATAATATAGGTGAGGGGATCAGCTGGGCTGGAAAGTTTCATCAGCTGCACGGGAAGTTTACATAGCGCAGAAGTTGGTGCTGATAACACACTGGATATTAAAAATGTGCTTCTGGGCTCCTGTCTCTGTGTTCAAATCCAGGCACAAACTTCCCTGATGGTCAGGAACACTTTGCACCTGGGTGGGGGGCCTAGGTTTAGTTGGAAGCAGGATACCTAATAATCAAATAATGATGCGAATATAATAAGCCCCAAGGCACTGAACACACATGCACTTTTTTTTCTGTTTTTCTTTTCCAGCCTGGAGTTACCTATCCTCATCCAGGCCAAGACACATCAGCAGGACTGCTGCCCAATGTGCAGGGCTTCACGAACCACAATCTCAGGCTTTCCCACAATAACCCTGTTGCATCTGAATCCAGCTCTTCGGAATTTCCTACTTTGGCAATAGCAGCCAAGTCTGTAGCAAAAAGAGCAGTGGCAGAGGCCGCTCAGCACAACAAAGCAGTTCGTCCGGTCGGCTTTGCGCCTCCTCCTCCTCCGTGTCCCGGAAGGATCCGCTATTTCAAGATCTAGGCTGTGTTACGGACACAGCCCGCTGGCTGACTGCGGGATCAGCAGGCAGCACCACCACAACACACAGAGCACATCAAATGCAGGCAGCCCCAAACACTTGAATCTCTGCGTGCCAAGCGCGTTCACCTCGCAGATAGCAGAGCAGCAGCCAGGATCTTGCAAAGGCCTGCTCAAAATGCAGGGGATTGCAAAACATAGCAGAGGTTGTCTCTACACATGGGGATGCTCTAGTTAAAACATAGAAAATATTGTTTCAATGACACTGTCGAGCTGTACAACAATTGTAGCTTTGTGATAGAAACACCAGCCCAAAGGTTACTTCGCAATAAAACGTTCAGCAGAAATGCTTTTGTTACCTTATATCTGGATATATTTTCATTTAGTTGTCGAGCATCTCCTTCACAGCATGACTCATATTCTGGGCTCTATTTCAAAACCAGTAAGCTCCTGCACTTCTCATCAGCTTCAGAGGGATGTGTGGGTGCTGAGCGCTGAAGAAAATCAGGTCAGTCCTTTCTTTTGATCACACACTTGCAATACCAACACAGTGACAGGCAAGAACTGCTTTCCTCCTTCCACCTTAGTGCATTCTAGCACGCGCCAACATTCAACATCCACCCGAAGCACCTCCCTACTTCTGGATATGACATGAGGAATAACAACAGCATCCATGCCCACGAAAACCAAGGAATCAGGACATGCTCATTCCTGCACAGG